GCGCGCTCTCCCAGCATCCGGCCTTAAAAATGAAAATGCTTTCGAAAGTACAGGAATGCGCACGGGCACGAGCAGGCACACCACGTGCAAAAATAAACAGGATCAGAGAAAGGAGTGGTCCTTCAAACACGGTAGTTTCGGTGCAAACACCGTAGGTCCGGCTCGCTCTCACCTCTTCCTCACTCCGGGCACCTTCCCTCCTGACACCCTCCCTTCCCCGCCCCGGGCACGAGGTAAGGGAGCAGGGACCTGGGACCCTGAACAGGTAGATGCCCGGTGCTGCGAGCAGGAAAGCGAAACTTGTTGCTCCCAACGGCGAGCGGAGGGTTGGGCTTCTTGAGGCGGCAAAGAGCCTGAGAAGCATCCTCAAGGCGTCCTCCGGGCCCAGGTAACCAAACAACGAGACCTTCCCCCCCGAACCGTTACCCTGGGGTCCCCGGAGTGCAGGCGCCCCCGCTCTGCTCCGACCCGAACGCTGGGCAGGCAGTCCAACTGCCTCTCCTCCGGAGCGCGCCAGGCTCGGTGCTCTGGGTCCTGCAACTCCGAGAAAGCTCCTGCCTCGGACCCGGTCCTGCCACTGGTCGCAGCCGCAACCGCAGTGGGGACGGGGCTGGAAGCAACGCGGAGCCGTCCCGGGGCCCGCGGAGTCCGCTGCGCTGCAGGGCAGCTCCGAATGGAACCTGACCCCCTTCCCGTGGTAACACGCTGAGGTCATTTGCAATGCGAACGTGCGGCCTCGGGGACACAAGCCCCGCAAATTAAAATAAATTGAAAATGTTTTTAAAATGGTCTTTCATGTGACGCCTGGGTGTCGTTCTCCACAAACAGGCATCGGCCTGAGGCGCACGCCCCCTTTCGGCAGGAACTGGGAGCCACGAGTGCCTCCCGTGGCCGGATCCCAGGCATCCGAGTTCGTGTGTGTGTTTGTGTTCGTTCGTTTAGACACCGAGGCCTCAAAGAGCCATCGCTGCAAATCGGGGTTCCAGAGACGCGGCATCTCCAGGCGTCAGCGCTCGCCCCCGTTCGTAGCACCCTCCGTGCAGGTCTTTCTGGAACCGAAAATGGAATTATGGGTGACTTTTCATCCTCCGGGTCATGTACCTTTCAGACTATGCACCATGACCCCTGAGGTAGGGGCTCCTAACCCCTGTGAGAACTTCCACTCATTTCATTGGCGCTGCCAACCAGTAGCAAAAGAGGCATCTATTTGCACAAAACTTAAATCCACGAGCGAGGTAAGACCCACACGATGGACATGGACATTTAGAGCTTCGCAGCAATTAAATCCTCCCTGAACTCCTAGGAGAGAGGGAGGGAGGCCGGCAGGCAGGAGAGAGGGAGAGGAGGAAGGAAACAGAGAAAGAAAGAAGGAAGGAAGAGAGAACAATGGCTAAAGCCAAGGGTTTTATGGATTTCCAAACTGGTGGCCAGGACGCGCCTGGAACCAGGGTGTCCCGTTACTGCCGGCTGTGCCCTGTGTCTGGGGAGCGCCGGCCAGTGGCGACAGGGTTCTGCGCACCGTGGAGCCTGGGAGTTCAGTGCCACCGGGCGGGCGGCGCG